AAAAAAAATAAAACGGTTCACTTCTAAGGAGCATGTAATATTTGTTAGATTCTGGGCTATTTTACATGGATTATTTCACTTGATTATCATCAAAACTCTCTAACATCAATACTCTTATCAATTCTGTTTTGTAAATTAAAAAAAAAAAAACAAGGCTTAGGGCATTAAAGATTAAATGGAAGGTAGCTGAGCCAGGATTTGAAATCAGGCAGTTGATGGAGATCCTTTTTTCTTAATCCTCCCACTGCACTGCTGAATGTATGAAAAGCTTTTTATACTAGAAAACTTCTTTGTAGTTGATGGTCACTTCATTTTTAGAGAAGGACATTACACATTTGGCCAAAAATCTACTAGCTTATAGATAAAACACTCTTTTTTTGGGAAAGTTGAGTGTGACCAAAATAATTTAGATCTTGAATATCTTTAAATTCAAGATCGAAACTACCCGTAATGTGAGGGCAATGTTCCTCCATGGATATATCACTTAATCCAATGATGCTTTTCTCTTCATTTATGGTTCTTCCACAGCTCAGACTTCGGTCGGCTTGGCTGTGCTCATTCAGACTACTCCCTTTGCTCTGGGGAGCTCCTGAGAGCTCTGCCCATCCACACATCTCCACTGCTGCTCACCCAGAACACACAGGTGGGCGGCAATCTTTTCTTTTCTAAAGCAATATTTGCAACGATTTGTCATGGGTTCTCTTTCATTTCCTCTTCAGTCTTATTTTCTCCCTATAGCTGTGACTTCTATCTACAGGGCAAGACCCTGTACAAATTCACTTTCATTCCTGTCCCAATGTCAACACCCCAAAGTTGAAAGGAAATCATGTATCATATATTTTAAAATCTCTGGTCAAGTCAGGTAGATAATTTGACATTTAAACACCTCGGTAGACTTTTCAATTACTCACAGTTCATAACTATTTCTAACTGATAAAATAATAGCATCTCTTGCCTTCATGTTAGCTCTGCAGATATCACTTTTTCTTGATCGTATCTCCAGCTGTTTAAGTTACTGTAAGGCCACAGAATTTTGACATGTGAGATTTTGACAAGACAATAAAGGTCTGATGGTCTGACCCAGAGGTTGACAAACTTTTTCTGCAAAGGGCCAGATTATAAGTACTTTTGGTTCTGTGGGCTATATATAGCCTCTGTCAGAACTACTTAACCTTGCATTATAGTATGGAAGCAGCCATAGATGGATACACAAACAGATTACTGTGGCTGGATTCCAATAAAACTTTGTTTACAAAAACAGGTAGCAAGCCAGATCTGGCCCACAGGCTGTAGATTGCAGATCTCTAAGCTATACCGTCACTGCCAGAGTAACTTTATACCTATCACAGAGAACAAGAAGTTGAGGCACAGGAAAGAGAAGTAGCTTGCTCTGTGAGGACACACAGATAGGAGGCTGACCCTGAGTCTGTATATTGCTAACGATTATGCTATGCTGTGTCTATAGTATGCAGAGTCTACGATTTAGTTTATTATTTAAAAATATGCTTGTATCACTTCATCAATAGTTCTTACAGGGTAGTGGGATTGTGGTGGTTTTTACTTTCTTCCTTTTTGCTATCAATAGTCTCTTAAAATTAAAATTTAAACCCAGAGCACTTTCCTAAAAAGAAAAAATATAGCTCACCTTTATTTATGTATTTTTTGATGATTTTTATTTATTTTTGAGAGAGAGAGACAGAGTATGAGCAGGAGAGAGGCAGAGAGAGAGGGCGACACAGACTCCAAAGCAGGCTCCAGGCTCTGAGCTGTCAGCACAGAGCCTGATGCGGGGCTCCACGTCA